TATTTGCCATGACTTTTCCAGATTTTATTTATTTTCATGGCTTTTTATGGTTTTATTTTTTTCCATTCATTTTTTAGATTTTATTCAGTTTCACAAGTTTTTGAGATTGTATTATTCTCCCTGACTTTTCAAGATTTTATTCATTTTCATGGCTTTTTATGGTTTTATTTTTTTCCATGAATTTGAGATTTTATTATTTTCCATGATTTTTTTGAAATGTTATTCATTTTAATGAGTTTTTGAGATTTGATTAATTTCCATGACTTTTTAAGATTTTATTATTTTCCGTGACTTCTCGAGATTTGATTCATTTCATGAGTTTGAGATTTTATTAATTTCCGTGACTTTTCAAGACTTTATTAATTTTTGAGATTTTATTATTATCCATGACTTTTCAAGATTTTATTGATTTTCGAGATTTTATTAATTTCCATGACTTTTTGAAATGTAATTAATTTTAATGAGTTCAGATTTGATTATTTTCCATGGCTTTTTTTTCTTCTTTTAATTTTTCGCAAATAAATGTAAAATAAAACATAATATTTTAACATAATATTAACTCTGCTCTTTGAGACAAACCATTTTCTGGCAGTTAAGTGCCTCCATTTATCTATTTTTATTTGACTACTAAACTGCATTAAAGTTAACACGCAAACATTTTCTCTGTCCTCCACAGCAGACGACTCTCACGTATGCGACGCTGCGTCTTCCTCGCTGTCCTCCTCTTCCTCCTCTTCCTCCTCGTGTCGCATGCGCTGCGTCATCTGCCACCGCGGCTTCAACTCCCGCAGCAACCTGCGCTCGCACATGCGCATCCACACCCTGGACAAGCCCTTCGTGTGCCGCTTCTGCAGCCGCCGCTTCAGCCAGTCCTCCACGCTGCGCAACCACGTGCGTCTGCACACCGGCGAGCGCCCGTACAAGTGCACCGTCTGCCAGAGCGCCTACTCGCAGCTGGCCGGCCTGCGTGCGCATCAGAAGAGTGCGCGACACAGACCCGCAGGATCGAACCCGGAGCCTCGGCCCGCTCCGCACCCTGCACTGCTGCGCCACGTCCCCACCATGGT